GTCAAAGAGTCTTTGTTTGAGAGTTACGCGCCGAGCTGGCGGCCAGTCCACACTTGTCTCTGCCACCCGCCGCGCTTTCTCAGTACGCTGCCTGCTCGCACGGTAGAGCTATTACCGATAAGCGGGATTTAGATTGTGCCGCGCGAGACGTTTAATTTTGATTAAAAAATCGGGATGGCAACGCTGACTCAGGGGCACCCGAGTTCTTGTCTTTAAATTGGAATTCTTATATTTTTAAAATGTCTATTTATTTTCCCCTTCTTATATGACATAATATAAATGCTAATCGCGTAAAAAAATAGTGTCACTTTATTAAACAGTACTATTTCAATAACTCTATCAAAGTAATCTATACCTATAACTACATATTTGGAAACTATGTGCCTTCTTAGTGTAGTACAAACGCGTTTAGGAATAACTAAAGACTGGAATAATGTACGAAATGAAAGAACTATTTTAAATTAGTTTCTTTGTTAGCACGGGCACCTATATTTACTATAAATATTTCTTAACAATGTAGCTACATTTATTTTGCTATATCATTATACATACCTACAAAATATAATTTTATTTTTCATTGGTTGTTAGTGTACTTTTAGCTGTATTATGCTTTCGCGCCGAATTTGGCAAACATATTATTCGGTTGGTAGTTTTATCCAATGGAAATGCTCGTGACTTTTAACATTTGATTGTAAAATAAGACTTGGCTAATAACGAAAAATACGAATTTTATGGTTGCCATTGTTAAAATAGACAATTGTATTCTTACTCTATGTCTAGGTAGATATAGTAAGATGATAAATTAGATAAATCAAAAACTATTAAAATCTGTTCCATGCATTCATACTGAATCATCCATAATAGTAGGGAAAAAAGGAATGAACTGTTCTGAAATAAATTCTAAATGTAAAATAAAACTAAGTATGTAGGCATTATGAAATCTTGAGGTTCTGTAACTGTCTTACTCCGAAGATGTCTTTCTATAGTTTCTAAATGGACCCGACAAACATTTACATACCTGTAAAATTTATAAAATAATCCCAGAACCCGACTGCAGCTTTATCCAATTTGAATCGAAACCACCTAGGGACCCACTGAAATGGGAAGACCAAAAATATGATCTAAATCTGCCCGGTCGTTTTAAGAGGATATTATTATTAGATTGAATTAGAAATTTTTAAATATAGATCGTGCCAGCAGCCTAATCAAAGAAAAAAAAAACACTTGTTATAGGTACTTACCCCGGGTGATTTAGGCAAAGGTATTCTTTCTATTAATGGTCTGGGCGTTGGACTTTTGTCAAACGCGAATAATATAATCTTAAACAAACATGCAATACTATTTTTATGTAGGTATGTGTGCTATCACGCTGCTGATCTTATTTATATAAATGCTGGTAAAGATATAAATGGATCCAAGAGATACCTACATAGGAAAGTGTTTGTATTGACGATAAAACTTGGAGATGAAATACTTCGAGGGTGAAAGGTTGTGTGGAAAATCAATTATGCTACACAGACGAAATCGCGAGCACTCGTTAGTCATCCTTAAACGTGTTCCATGAGGGCTATCGCGTATGAATCTGCCGCTAGAGGCGCTTGTGTAGCGTGAGGTGGTCAAATATTATTGCTCGTAGGTTGACTACGCGGGCTTCATTTTATTAAAATGATGTGAATATTTACATATTAATGAATGTCAGTGATTTAAATCCGAAGATAAGAAAATATATTATGTCCTCCTTTTTTTCGAATAAAACGGAACTGCGCAGCACTGTGGCATGGCCAATTACGTTAACGATACGATACGGTTTGTATTGAAATATGTTTTAAATGTAATATTTGATTTCACGCGCGCATTAACAAACTTCAGGACCTCACTCGACAGTGGCGCCATCTGGTGAGATTAAAACCGGTAGCCCCTTTGATATTCGCTAATGGTAGCCATACACACTACGAGAAATCGTTACGATTAGACTGTACCGTCCGAACGGTACCGATAAATCGTAGCGTGTATGTTATAAAACTGCACAGTTTCCTATAGGAATACGTACGCCACGTTTCCTTTCCAAGTTCTTGTGTGCGTGATTATCTTTTTCTAGTGAACGAATATAGGTATGCATTACATACAGCTACATTTTACTAGGAAGTTTCATTTCAAAATCAACTTGGTGAGTAGGTAAATCCAAACTAATATTATAAATACGAAAGTGAGTCTGTCTGTTACCTCTTCACGCTTAATCACTGGACCGATTAAGATGAAATTTAATAAGCATAGATATAATTTTTAAGCCAGGAGACAAGTCATAGGATATTATCCTAGAAATTATCTTTTTGGATGCGATACCTAGTTTGTATAGAAAACCATACCATTTTTCGTTACCCACATTATCTTCACCCACATTAGGTGAAGTCGTAGTCGTATTTATAAAATCATAGGCATATAAATAAACTTCAGCTGTTCCAAATTCTATGCACTGAAAGAAGTTTAAAGTAGGTCATAGGTCCAAGATATGGGAATACAATTGTAAATTCCGAAAAATAATATCGACGAGCTATTGCTCTATAGCAAATATACACAGAACCTCATCCCTTAATGGATGTGAAACTAGAATGAATTTGCAGATTTGTTTTATTTTTCAGAATCTCACAGGTCAAAAGAGTAGTGATGTTATTGCCACTATGTTGATCGATTAAGTGTAGATTCAGAACATAAAAAAATTAACACCTTTGATCACCACACCAATTTTGTGTCGTGTGTTAAATAAATAAACCTGGACTTTGTACCCCATCAGAATGGGCCTGGTGTACTTCCAATTTATGAAGGATATTGTGGTGACGTTACGATATGAATATCGAGCCTCAAGTACCCAAAAACTTATGAATTCCCAGTCGCCCGCCCCCGTTCTAGCTGGGAATTCATGTAATACTGTTGGCCCCGGCTGCATACGTAGTCGTTGGCATTGGCACCCACCAATCCGTAGGGTCCCGCGTGGTGGTCTTAACTCGTTCTCCCTTTTCCGCATATAGGGAAGCCCTGTATCTCAGCAGTAGGACATGAATAGGTTGATGATGAAGAAAATAGAGTATTATGCTAGTTAGACCTTTCAAATGTAAGGCGCCGGATACAGAAAAGACGCAGACGGGACGCGGACGTGTGACATTGGACAGTTTCATTCAAAATGCAGCGTGTCGCTGTCTTTTCTATAATGTTTAGCGATGCGACGCTTCTAAACATTTTGTATGAAAAGGACGCGCATCTTACGTCTTTTCTGTCTGTCCCGCGCCTTACACATCATTATGTAGGAAATTGACCATTACCAAGTAAAGGTGAAACTTACAGCATCACTCACCTTTTAGTTTTGATTAGACAGTTTGCTAAAGAATGCATGATGACAAACCTGTGAACACTTTCATTTTCATCAATGCAGGTCATGCAGGTGAACTTTTTGAACACATACAAACGGACGATGATAGGGTAAAGTAAACGATATTCTATTTAGTCCGCCAGTTAGATTATCATAAATAATGAACAATTATTTTTTTTCTTTTGTCAAACGACTAATAAATTACAAAGATAAAGCGCATCAAAGTTTAGGAGTGGGGCGTCTAGTAAAAATTGTACCAAGACATGATGTTGTGCGATATTTCGTATCTCTGTAATGTTTTGATTGCATATGTGAATAAAGAAAAAATACATGTCCAATACTTATAGATAATCTACCTGTAAGATGAAGATAAAAAAGGTAGTCCTCATCCCTATTGTGTCAATTACAAAAGAGTTAAAAACTGAAATTATCACTGTGATTCTAGTCGAAGCTTCAAACTTCACAAATTTATTTACTTATTATGTATATTAAGTATTAAGCATTTCTCTCTGTGTAAAACTTGTGCTCAGTTTGTGTACATAATATGTATGTTTTAAAACAATATATTGCTATAGCACATTTACATTTAAACAATCATAGCTGTTCATTCAAAATAGGCATTTATAATGCACAGAAAAAAAAATAAAAACTATGGACATAATTGAGTTGTGTATTTTTTTAATTATAAAATAAATAAATTATTTACTACATTTTAAGCATAAAAACAGTACAGGTACTTCGAACGATTTTGTTTAACCTCCACTGTGGGATCATAAAATAAAAATGTACCCTAAAAAATAGATACAAAAAACAGTTTAAATATGTCCATAATTAAATTAAAAATTGTGAAAAAATTAAGTAACTTTTCTTTAGATAAGTTAATTCTAAGATCTTGTAAAATATTCAATTAAAGTTTATGTTGAATAACTAAAAGGTTGAGTCATACATAATTAACCTAAATGAGTATAATTAAAATTAATGAAAATCAAATTATGTGCATTTTGTTTAATTTGAAATGGATTTAGCCTATAAATACAAAATAAAAAGTACTTATACTGTTAGTATAATTACAGCAACAATTTTTTTTTATTTGACAAATATGTAAAAATTTAATGATAGTAAGGTTTATTGATATGTAAAATATGTATTTTATACTACGTCATTTTTTTATTTAATCAACACATTTATGAAATTAAATTTGTTATTTAAATTTGTTTAAACAGAGTTTTACTTATTAAAATTTGTTTTTTTAAGCATTTCACTATTAGATGTTTTGTTTGAACATCTAACAGTTCAATGCATGAAAAAATAAAAAGCTCAGATTTGAGAGCTATCATCTATTAACCCTAAGAAATAATTACATACAATTTAAAAAGAGCAAATCTTGAACTATGGTAATGAAATAATGAATAGCAACTAAATATAAGTAAACATGACTCTGGTGTTAATTCCCCTACTGGGATTGGAACCTCGGACCATTGGAAGAGAATACACCACCCAGTTCTTAAAATAATTGCTTTAATTTACAATTTTAAAGTAACTAAAAATCTTTTTGCTACATAAACTGATTCAAGAAATAGTTCATTAATTATGTAAACTACTTTATATACAAGTACAGAGTTATTTTCATCCCAGATTAGATAGCAGTACCCCGTTCTAAGTTTTGTTTTATTTCTGCAGTGTGTTCACCATAAAATCTTTCCAATTTCTTATTGAATTTAGCATTCCTCTCATTAATGTAGTCAATATCTGCATCATCATTGTGTGTTCGCCTCCTCGAGTACTTGGCCCTTTTCGCTATCTGCCCTTCCAAGTCATCAACCATTTTATCAACTGCTTCCTTTCGATCATTGTGCATACCATGAATAATAACATTTGGTCCACCATAAAAGGCATCACCATATTTCTGTTTCTGTTTCTCATACTGTTCCATATCAGGAGAGGCCATGTTTTTGACAAGTCTGTTATATTGGCGAACAGTTGCTTGCTCATAGGTTGAGAACCCTTGGTCAGGGTTCTTTTTCTTCTTCTTACGTTCTAATCTTTCAGCCTCTACTGCAGATATATTAAGGAGTTTGACTCTGTCGTAAGTTTTACCTTCTTTCTCTGCTTCCTCGCGCTTCTGTTGATCTTCGAGCAGCCACTCAGCTTGTCGACGCTTTGCTTCATAGTTTGGGGGCAATTTATTTCTAGCCTCTTCTGCTACTACTTCCTGATGATTTTGAGTGCGTGCTTCGTTCCTTGCCGTATGTAATGAACGTAGCCTCTTCATCCTTTCAGCCTGTTTCTCTGCGAATGTCATCTCTTTTGAAGCTGACGGAGATTCTTCCACATTAGCACTCATTTTTGTTAATGTACTAAATCTTTTGTAAGCCACACAACATAAATTCACTGAGTAACTCTTGGCTACTTAAAAACTTGCGTTTTTATTACGTCGAAGCCTACGTATCAGAATTTCGTAAAAAAGGATAACTTCACATCGTATTTCCTACCTAATTTATAATTTTTACTGTCCACAAAATAGAAAACGCACTGATAAACTACGGTGTAAAAATAAATAACACGACGTAAATGTCCATAGAGTATCTTAAATGTCACTTCTCTAGATGACGTTCACACCAGTGTTGCCACCTTGGATTTTTTTAAGGCGCCAATTCAAAGGTAAAATATCGCCAGATTTCAAAAATTTGGATTTAAAAAAATACACCACAATCCGCTAAATTACAATTACATCTCAGACAACAAAAAACCCTAATTTAAATAAAAAACCAGTGAATATGTATGAGATGCAACAGAAATAACTGTGTTCGTTATCCTGCAGTCGTTTTTAATTAAAAAAAATGGCAATATTGTTTTTACTAACTTATAACTATTCCATGCGTTACCTTAGTAGTACTAGATAATTAAATAAAACCAGGTAAATATGTATTTACATTCATTATTTATAATCAAGAAATAAATCTTAAACAAAATGTAAAATTTAAAATTCAATATTGTTAAATGTTACACTTCTATAACTTCATCGTCGTTCACAGACGCCGAGGCTTCTGTCGATGAAGCCGATGTCGAAGCTGAAGATGTTTGGTTGTGGTTGTAGTGGATTTTTGAAAGAGTATTTTGTGTTTTTTCAATGATAGTATTTGCATTTTTTGTTTGTACTTTTTTGTTTTAGCATGTCTTCTCTACTACTTTTGCTAATAATTCTGCTTTACAAAATGAACAAAACGCCTTCGCATCAACACCTGCTAAAGGTTTAAGCCAAGTTTGGAATTCGTCGAGTGATTCCTATTCTTTTCTATACTTTTGTGTGTAATTCTTTTTCTTGAATAGAGTTTCCATAATAACATATAATTGAATACTCTAAACATACAGCTTCAGGAGTTCATACACTGTTACAAATGTTTCTATCAAATCAAACTTTTACACTTTTTAACAACTCTATTTCGTTCATTGTGTTGTTGTTAAGTGTCTAATTCATGAAACAGAATGAACGATTAAAGGAAGCCCTTAACAGTCAAACGCGTGTAGGAATTCCCCTGTCACAGAGTAAGCATAGAACATTATGAAATTTCGGAAAGTTAGGGGATTTCCCCCTTACAAATATGTTGCTAGAATTCATGTTAAAAACCACTAAAAAACACTAAAAAAAAATATACCACTAGAAGCCGTGAAAAAGCACCAAGGTGGCAACACTGGTGCACACCATAGAGATCAAAATTGGTGTATTCCGAAATATACATCAGCATACTGGTCAGTGGTAATGACGTCACGAATCCGACGCCAAATTGTACTGGTATGCTACCATATTTTACCGGGCAAACGAATATGACGTATGACCATGCATTTGAATCTTATTTCTTTTATATATAGAGAACAATAATGGCATCCGAACAAAAATAATTCCTTTTAATTGATGAGGTGAATAAAAAATCTTCTTAATTCGCACTATTTTTAATAATTCGTCGATTTATGACGTCAGTGTACTGGCCAGTATATTTCGGAACAATTCACCAGTATAGCGTCGATTCATGACGTCATTAGCACTGGCCAGTATACTGGTATATATTACAGAATACACCCAATGACGTGAACACATGGATATGGTATATTTGTATTCCAGGGTTACGTTCAATACCTACGTTCTGAGTGAAACTTTTTAGTCTGACGTTTCAATTTTGAGATTGGATGTATGAAGCCAACTTTGAGATTTGTTGCACCTAGAACGTAGGTTTTGAACACAGCCCCGTATTCCCATTAGAAACCAGCTAAGATTGAGAATGGATTCTCCATTCTTACTCTCAGGAAACCAGAAACGAACCATAAAAGGCCGGCTTTAAAATTTCACTCCCTCGTCCGGTTTTATTGGCGAGTCATCCATGGACCAATATTGGCTATGGCATGGACGAAGTATCAGACTCCATTCTCTGTCAATAATCAGAATCCTTCGTCCATGGTCGAAGTTTAGGAATGGGAATGTAATATTGATGTCAGAATGACAGTTTGATTGAGTGTAGTGATTGGAACAAACGAACTGCTTTAGCTTTGAGTGAGTGAGCGTACGAGCGAGCGAAAGAGATAGTCTGTCGGTGTTTTGGAACGGTGTCGGTTGTGTTGAAATTGAGTGCCAAAAGTATTTCTTTGAAACAATTGTAAAGTGTTTTTGGAGTTCACAATGTCGGATGAAATAGCCGAAAATGGAACAGCTAACGGAGACGTCCCAGAAATCGAGCTGATTATAAAGGTAGCGTTAGATTTACACGTGTTATCTCGAAATTATTCAGTAACGTCGGTCAACACGGCACGCGTACATTGTTGGCCTTCGAAGCTAAGAAGATTGTGAAGAGGTGGCAGATGTTATTTTAATGTTGCTCCGGTAGAACAGAATATAAATACTAACACCCGTCAGAGACCATGCATAGTACGAGAGCACAAATTGATGATACTAATGGTTTTGAATTGCACCATAATATTGTGACTGCATCAAATTGCATGATGTTGTCGTGCAAGTCGTATGGATGAAAGTATATTATTAATGCACTTATAATGCGCGTTATGTAGGTCATCTACAACTCTATTTTGTTACTAGGTTTAAAATGTATTGCCGAATGCCATGATGTATGAACTGGCCCTCATCATTTCTTAAATATTAAATAGTAACCTATTAACATATTTCTATGCTATTAACAAATTCGTATTTGTAGGCAACCAATACTCACATACTTATGATTATATGAGTGTGATATAAAACTATATTTAATGTCTTGTCTCATAAGCTGATTATAACTTTGAGCTGATAAACTAATCTTGAATTCTTTAGTTACAATCGGTTAAAATCATAATCAGTTAAATGTTTATCACAATGATTATTAAATGGAGTTACTAGCTAGCTAATTAAATTCAAAGTTTTCCTGTTATCATTTAATGATCATTAGTGTGTTAAAATATCATAAATCTAACACTATGAAATATTTTTTGTTTCTAACTGTTATTTGTGACTTACCAAAAATTTGTATTCATATAAATATGGACGACTTCCATCTGACATGAAGATATTGGCATCAATCATGCCTAATTAATTTTGATGTTAAAACAAAAATCTCTGAGATGACTATATTTCTTAGTAAAATTAGAATTTATTCCTTATTATTACAAATGCATTTTCATTTTTATATGAAAGTTGTTTCAAGAACTCCTTTAAAACCCATGTTTTGTGACTATTTAACATCTGCTCAATTATCTGCCATAGGGATGTGATAGAGCTCTGTAACCGTAACTGAAACTTTCAGATATCTGAAATTAGATCAAAAACCATAACTGAATCTGAAAAGCTTTTTAAATAATTTTGCATAGTGGTAATGTAACAAATTTTCCTTGTCTTATCCTTTCACAAATTTCTTTATAATCTAATATCCATATCTGAACCTATCAATCAAACTGAAGATAATTTTGTATGCAGAACTGTATCTGAAACCTGCATATCTAATAAGTGAATCTGAATATTTATATCTATAATTTGCCTGATCTATTAAATTGCTAACATTAAGGGAATGCCCTTTATTTATTATATAATTACAGTATCAGATAATATATTATTATTAATTAAAAAATCTTATCCGTCCGGTAAAGGGAAAGAATACTACTCACTATCTATAGTGTCTATTATAAACCATTTATTTTTATTACATTAAAATTTATTAATAAGGGTCACAATGTACTTTGATATTCTACTATTTCAATTACAGTTATGTACTTAACAAAAACTGCTGACCAAAAACTTAAGTCTCTTTCAAAATAAAATTTTATTAAAAATTATGCTACTTATAATCAGAGTATATATGTTGTACTACAACTTTTTTTTAATAGAAAATCTTGAGCTTTTTTATTTAAAAACTAAAGCACACTAAGAGAGTGATCTCCGACATTAAGTAGCCACATCAAAGAGGATGATGATATGAACTATTCATTAGAATTCAGCAAGGAAGAAACAAAAAAAATATCACTTTCAAACTAAGCAATTATCTGTAAAGTGAATCACCTTACAAAACCAATCCACTGAAGTGTTGCACCATTCCAACTTACAAATTACAGTGATTAACAGCTTTTGTGATTTTAATATTGCTAACTTGAGGTTTGATATATCTGTTCTTCAGCCATATTTTTGACATGACTGTCAAATATTTCTTTTTGTATTGACCAATTAAAATTTGACTCAAGGTAGTGGGACAAAATTTAATTTTCGGAAATTATATAGAACTAGCTGACCCAACGAACTTCGTACCGCCATAAAAATAGGGGCTGGTGGAAAAGGGTGAAAATTGGTTAGGGTTGTATATATTTTTATTGCAACATTGTAAAAAAATATTGTCCAAAGAAAAATGTTAGGGTTGGACAACCCTTATCACTTAGGGGTATGAAAAATACATAGTAGCCAATTCTCGGACCTCCTGAATATGCATATAAAATTTGATAAAAATTCGTTAAGCCATTATGGAGGAGTATGGTAACTAACATTGTGACACGCTAATTTTATATAAAAGATAAACAAATATATATATTTTTAAATACTTTAGTGTATTTGCTTTAATTTGAATACTGTTTAAATTAACAAGGACCAAAATGGTATTTACTGCTGCATATTTAACTAAAAACTTCAAGAGGACAGGCCAGAGTAGAGACTTTTTTAGATTTAAATATATAATTTCATGGAATTGTACAACACGTTAAGATGCTGCAATTTATTCCACAAAATGACTGGACATATACTAAAAAAGCTATTTAATAATAATTGCTGCACATTTTACCTCTTACTGTAGAATCACACATAAAAAACTTTGCGTATTAACATAAACTTATAAGAAAAAAATAACCACCTGCCGTCTACAACTCTCTTTCTTAGAGTGATAAGACACAGTGGATTTTCTGCTCCAATTGGAGCGCCCGTCTGGGGAAGCAACCTCCACCTCACAAAAGATCACAGTAAAATAATACTACCTTTTGGTGGTGATGTGTTTCTGCTGGTGAGTAGGATTCTAGGGCTCTGCCGGGTAGGGGATTGGGTTCAGGCTGGCAAGATGAGGATACCTGGAGTGGCACACCTTCTGCCGCATCATCTATCTTCGTGACTGGACACCACTTACACTTAACATCAGGTGGTGTGGGTTAATTTGTTGTGCCTCGTATAAAAAAGGTAATTCTGCATTGCCATTTTACTTTTATTTTGCACTTACTGTAGGCTTTAGAACTGAATTTCTTAAAGAAATTAATTTATACTCAGACCGTGCTTGAAACATCATCTCCAGATTTTAATCCATGTAGAAAACAACCATTAAAATGGAGATTGCCACACTTGTTAATTATTCTTTCTTCTGTGACAGCCACGAGTCCACGAGGGTTCCTCTTTTTTTGGCTATTGTGACTGTCACAAATTCTGCCAATATTACATAAGCAAGGTCTGTCGGTTTTCTGATTTTACTTCCATGAAAGATGCATATTGTAAAAAATAAATAAAGTTAATTTTCAAATAAAGTTTGTAAAACATCAAAGTGAAGGGTTGATTTTATTGATATTTTGAAATTGGACAAGGGGCCAGGTTGAAATCTAAATGGGTCTATGAAGAACAAACGAATAAACTGCATCTGCATGAATCAGCCACCAACCAACCCACCAATATTGGGGTTTTTTTCCCCAGTCTCTTATATTATTGCAATGCTAAAGGATGTACGTATTCTTCTCTTTAACACTCTTGGCAGAGTGATCATGAGCGTCACATTTAATAATCTTACCCCATTTCTCTTGTTCTGCAGCTCTTGTTGTCACACTTTCGTGGAGTGAGTCAATGAGTGCAGTTTGAATCGGTTGGTGCTGCCTAAGCATTGGTAACAGCCGCGTGCTCTTGTGTCTTCCACTTTTCTCTGCACTACAAGTCGTTTTACAGACGTGTCTTCTCGACGTGAGAACTGTGTGAGAAAGTGTGAAACAACATGACTGATGAAAGAATGACGCAGTTTTATAAAGAGTTCTTTGAAGGTTGAAAAATTTTGACGTTGGGTAGTTATTGTTAACGGTTTTAAAAAAGCGTCTATCTTCTGTTTCTCACTTTCTATCGAAATATGTTCAGTAGCTGTGAGGATAATCTATAAGGGTGAAACTATACTATCCTCGTACAAATGTTATGTGATACCATTTTGAAATTTTGAATTTCACACACATTTTTTCTAAATATATATGTCAGTTTCATGTCTTTTCTATTTAATTTTGAATGTAATGGACTTATGATGCTATATGTGCTAAGAGGATGGGCGCTGTATGTCGTAATACAGGCATTTTGCCAAGCTTGGCAGCAGCAAATATGTATTTTAAAGATATTAGCACTGTTTTAGCCTTATAAGTTAAATTGTAAATCACCTCTTATTGGAAATAAAAATTATTATTATTTGTATTGAGCGGTAATCCGGCGAGAGTGGAAAAGTCGCGGAAAACGCCCACGATTCGTGTTCACCGATCGTAAAACGTTTCGCAGTTGTTTTGGTCGTCCATCATCCGCATTGGCTAGACTTATATAATTTAATTGGCATCACGCGGATTACAAGTTTGTAGCGAACTATTGCTTGGAATGCGGGTGCAGTCGCCTGAGAAAGTGTTGATAATGTTGTTTAATGAGCGTTTTGGGATTTAAACAACTAACCTCCGAGAACATTTAAAAATGGCCAAGTGCAAATCAGACTCGCGCACGAAGAATTTCATGTCAGCGTAGATGTGTAACATTTGAAATACGTACAATAGGCCAAGATCTCATGGTCACAAAACACATTGGTACGTACATAAGTCAACTTCTCTTTTCATACCTACGCTCGATGGTCGCGCTAAGTTTATCAAAATTTGGATTAGGTATGCACAAAAAATATTACACATATTTTATCCATTAGAAAATTAAGGTCTGAAGGCTCTGGGATCTTACTCTACAACTGTTGTAGAGAAAACACTAATTTGTTTCAATTATTTGTTTTTACAGCGGTATTACTTTTTCTTCGTTACTAAATATGTAACTTGTTTTTGTTTCTCGCCAATATCACGTAGTTTATCTGACAGACTAACGGAAAGCGGAAGCTCAGCGGTTCTGTTGACAACCTTTGGAAATAAAGGAGCCATTTTGTATTTTCGCTGTTTCAAATAATAATAATGATGCTAAATAGTATAGAAACATGAAAATTAAAACACATTCCAACATCGCATTGAATTTCA